TTCGTAAGGGTAAAGCTTAGGGCGTGTGGCTTTCTTACATGCCGCCAGCGAAAAGGTATATGGTTTAAAAAAAGGTGCTTGCCGCAGAAGAGGAATCTGCTTCTCGGGTGCGCAAAACAAACTTTTGATGAATCCGCCTATCGCTGTCGGGTCATCATTCCTTAGCCAGTGCATGAGCACCAGCCTTAACAGCAACAACGTACGAATACCGAATTCAACGAGCGACAACTGGACTCCTTGTGACGGGCTGAATCAGTGTGTTTCTCATTGTTCCGATTCGCATATTTTGAGTAATCAAAAACTTTTACAGCGTAGGCCCGAGGCAGCCGCGAGTCGGGTAAGATGTTTGATATAAAATATATTATATGCACATTTTGCACTCAACTATATGTTGTACGGTATACCTGATCAAAATGCTGGAACACACGATTTCGATAGCCCTCCAAACACCCGGAGGAAAGTAGCAGCGTGAATTTAACACTCATCGCATCTGGTACCTATTATTCTATAGTACTTCTACAAGTGTAGAGAATCGTTCTGATACTCCAAGTCAATAGCAGGTTTAATTATAACTACATTCACGATCTTTATTTATTATTTAATCGAACTTTTTCAGTTATTACACGTCATCAATAATTGTGGATGTTGACTTGGCTTTAGCAAGCGTTCTTATTCTTGTTATCGATTACTTTCAGTAAGTTTTTTTATGGTATTCTCATCGAGGTTTTCAATATTATCATTAATTAGCAATCTTTTATAATGATGCAATTGTCAAAAAAAAAAAAACACCTCTAAAAATATGACAACAATTTAATCGTTTTAAAAATCAACAGTAATCACACAGAATAATTGTTTACCAAATCATTTCTTATAGTATAAATTGCTTTAGTATAACCAAACGCAATGGTATTCCCATTGGAGTTCTCATCTAACGTCTCATATGTTGACAATAGAATATTTCTGGTTATTATAGTATCCGTTAGCCGATTAGTTAAAATAAAATTAACATTGTCCAGAGATTTAAATCTCAATCCAATTAAAATCAAAGCATAATAATAAAAAAAAATTGTAATCAAACTTAATATGAAAAAGTTGAAAAAGGTTAAAAATAATAAATTATATATTTACTGATTCACAATGTTCGGTATGGCGATTATAATCTATAATATTGTTTATTACTTTATATGAGCTCCACATTTTTACATCAATTATAGTAATAATTCTCTGCTTCGTTGTGTAACGAGTGCCTTTCACCTGAACCCACGAAACAAAACTAACAGAATTTAAATTTGTAATCTGATTTAATAAATTATTTTGTATTTTTTCTATCTCATTTATAGACATATCTATTACTTTTCCTACGTTTGATGATTCTAAAGACAAAGATGTATTCGATTTAGATAATAATTGATGTGCAAGTCTTAGTTGGTGTTTTATACTCAGTGTATAGCATATATTTTTCCGACTGGTAATAGAATGGGCCGTTAGCTTTAACTCTATGTTTAGACTCGTATCTCATCGACCATAAGTGAGATACAGGCCCAACTTTACTCATTATTAATTGATAATGTAATAAGTGGTGATACTTTGGTTATAAGTTGGTTGGAAACAATGTTAAATACAACTCATGATGTTCAGTTATAAGTGTTTTATTAATAAATTATGTTCTGGTTGAATTGACTTTAACGTTACGATCTGTATAATTTGTCGAAGTAATATATATAACTGCCAAAATTCCGAAATAATGGTTAGGTAAAGATGTGGATGTGTGTGTAGCCATGACAATGTAGATAGGTATGATGACATTTTGATTTCTACGCACAACCCCGCGCTTGCCCTGCCAACAGTGTAGTTCGCCTAATCTCATTGGTTGTGGTATTATACATTTATACCGCCAAAATACAAATTATCAATTATAAAATAACAATTTATAATATTGATTACATTTTTACCATTGTTTTGATCCTTATATGATAAGATCCGTGCTACATTTAAACCTTGACATTAACAAGCACAATATGTATTTGAAAAAAGTTTAATAAATTTTAATACTATTATTATTATTTACAGAATTTAATTAGTTTCTTATTTTTACGTGGTTTTTTATTATATAATAGTTTAGAATTTAAATTATTCAGCCGTATAAAAGTCCTTGTTCTAACTAAACATTGTCATATATCCTTTGGTATATTTTGTGAGGAAACTTTTGACCATAAAATTTCAGTTAAATACTTCATTACTCCAGTTATTTTAGATCAATTATCTCCATGTAGTTTTTGAAACTCTCTCTCCATAATTTCTACAATTTCAATCAGTGTGACAGATGGAATTTTAAGTCCACTCCTGGAAACATGTTTAATCCATGAAGATTCATCACCGTTTTGGTCTATTAGCTGTGGATATTTACTAAAATATCTATTTGCAACATATCCAGCTATATATTTCGTAGCTTGAAACTCAATTTGGTTAAATGAATTACCAGACATAAACCTGTGACATAAAATTAAGGATGATGAAACTATAATAGTGAACAGGTATTAATTATGTACAAAAATGGTAAGTACCTAATTATTAAGAACTTAATTTTTCTACTTAAATTCATTTCAAACTGTTCTAATAGGTAAGACTTTCTTTATTAACTAATGTCGTTTCTTCACCTAACTCAATTACACCATATCATTCTGTTATAATTTCAGAGTTATGAATAATATGGCTTGTTAAACATTCATCTCCGTTCAAAAGAGATGTTTCAATTCCACACTCTGTTAGTATTATTTGTGAAAATACAATCTGAATGCTTCCCAAGAATGTACCAACGAAGACTAAAAATATAGGAAAAATTGATGATTATGTATTGTAAAAATCAGTTATGTTTTACTTAATTTATATTTTGGACGCTTTAAATACTGGTTTAAACGTTATACGGCTTTAACCTAACCTATACCTGTATTTAAAATTGAGCACTGTAATATTGTTGCTTGAAAATGTGGGTTGGAGGAACTCCCTCCAATTCTTTAGATAAGAATGATATATACTGCCTTAATTCGTCTTTTGTTATTCCCGCACGTGATTTTTTAATATTGTCGGTAAAACGTTTTGTTAGTTGGGGATGTCTTTTTAAGAAGTTTAAAATCCAATCATGCCCAGGAACATTAGCTTTAAACTTTTTCACAACCTGACCAATTTGTTCAAGGTAATGTTTTACCACCATTTTTAGATCAAATTCTCCCATTGGAAAGCCATAATCACTGGCTTTTATTATGCAATTAACAAATATATTTTCTTCATCTTTGGTAAATATTGGTGGCAAACCTGGATTAAGAACTTGGTAACCTTTTAATTTGTTCAAAATTGTACGTCTAGGAATACCAAATTCTAGTGGTGCATTTCTATGAGATAATTCCTTATTTTGAATTGCTGCTAGATATCTGGATAAGATTTCTTCTGCATCATTTTTATATTCGCGGGATCCCAATTTTCTAGTATAACCTCGAGGCATTTTTGTCTATGAAAAATAAAAGCTATGCAGGATTACCTATTATTAAGAAAAACTTTTATCTGATCTAGAATCTAGAATAATAGTTGATGGGGAAACATTGCGCCAAAACACTATAATAAAATACTGGCGCAAAGATACCCCTTTGAGTGGTGCAAAGTTACAACAATTATAAACACTCATCTTGATACAGCATCGTTTTCGCTACAAAATTATACACAGAATGAGTTATATCTTACCTTAAAAATCCAACAAAAATGCGTTCCACAAAGAAAAGTTTGCCAGCTCAAATTCTCACGTGTTTAAGAGGACGCCAAACCCGCATGTGTTGTCTCCGTCTTTCAAAGGTACAACATAGATATAAACATAAACTGTTTTGCGCGGGATAACTTTTATCTTTCTGTGTTTGTAGTAGTGGCTCCAAAATTTCTGAACATACCGAGTAGAAAATTATCTATGCAACAGCGTGCCTATATTTTAGATAACATAAATACAATAAAAGTTATTTGCTTCTAAACATTTTGTTTTTTTGTTTTTTTTTCATTTGCTTATAAAAAAATGATTGGAAGTGTAATTAAAAAAAAGCACGCTGTTAGATAAAGTTCTTCTTTACGTGTTGTGAAAATTTGGTAATTCTACAACAAATTTGGTGCGAGAAAAGTTATCCCGCCCTAAACAGTTTTTGCTATGTTGTACATTTGTAAGACAGAGACAGCACATGCGGGTATGGTGTCCTCTTAATGGCTCCACAAAAGATAACGCACCGATAACAGAAAAAAAACTGCCTTCATGTATGGAGGTAACATATGAAATAGCTATAAAAGTGCTGCCACCAACGCACGAACTAAAATTAAATTATCACCATTTCCAAAGTCACCAGCTATCACCAGAGGTTTTTTTTTTTTGGAGCAAAGTTAACCCGGGGGAGCAAAGTAACCCCAAACGACGGAACATCCATAACAACCCCTTCAAAAACATTTAAACATAATTTCTATATAATATATATTATTTATTGCGTTAAAAATATAAGAATTTATAAAAATTAAAACTTATCTCATAAAATAATTAGTGTAGGTATTAGATACATATACAACACAACTATACGAATTCGTAAGTACATTAAATGTAACAAATAAAATTGAATTTATAAAGGTGATTTATTTCAATACAATTATATACATTCGATTATTTGAATTATTTTATAATTAATATGTAGGTATGTTATAAAATAAAATATATTTATACAATATATAGGTAAGTGTAGAAAAAAGTAAGATAAACAAAATACATACATATTGACTTCCGAAAAAATTATATAAATGTTGTGAATGGTATTTGACAATTATATAATAATACATTGTATTAGCCATTAGGTACATAAATACGTACTAAGAACTTCCAATAAATTAATTTTTAGAACTTACAGGATTATAACTTAAATTAATGTTTTCTATAGCTGATTTTTTTGCTTTCCTATTTAAATAAAATTTTGCTATAAAATATATTAAAAATATCCGTCTCTTAACATGTTGTGTAAACAACAAGCTACCCATATTAGGTCATCACATGTTGTACTTTCAATATTAATTGGTTGGTAAAAAACACGGAATACTTGGCTCAGTAAGCCAAACGCGTTTTCAGTAACACGCCTTGCTCTACTTAATCTGTAATTAAACACCTTTTTAGAGGCATCTCCTAAACTAGATTTTCGAGAATATGGTTTCATTATATTTGGATGTAGACGAAAAGCTTCATCTCCAACAACAACGTGTGGTACAACAATGTTAGAACCTGGAAGTGCACTTTCTTCTGGAAATCTAAACGACCCATTTAAAATGTGTTGACCAATAAGAGACTTAAGGAAAATGCTGCTATCGCCTTCTTTTCCGTAAGAGCCAATATCAACAATGACGAATTTATTATTAGCGTCAACCATTGCCAAGAGAACAATTGAAAAAAAATCCTTATAGTTAAAGTATAAGGACCCCGAGTTGGGTGGACTTCGAATACGTACGTGTTTACCATCAATGGCAAGTATGCAGTTAGGAAAGTTCCATTTATAGGAAAATTCATCTGCCTTTTATTTTAAATCGATTTGACATGAGTCTGGTAAGAAAACAGGAACTAGCTTCTCTTTTAAAACTGATAAGGTCTTTTTAATTATTTTACTGATGTAGCTATGGCATATTCGAAAGCCAAAGGCCAATGATCGAAACGATTCCCCAGTTGCCATGTATCTAAAAAAACGAAAAAAATAAAAATATTTTTACATTTTCAGTTTCTAGTGTAAGTACTAAGTTAAAAAAAAATTGATAGACGCAAATACCTCAAGGTTAATGCCAATTTTTCTGCTGCTGTTATTGGTTCCTTCACTCGGTTGCTAGGCATTTTTGTTAATTGAACCTCAATAAGTGACAACAAGAAATCGAACTGGTTTTTATTAACACGAAAAAACTCCCGAAATTTTGTTTCATTTCGTTGCAAATGTCTATTTATTAAAATTTCAAAGTATCCTTCAGATTTTCTATTTAAAAAAAGTTCATCAACTTTTTCTCTCTTTTTATATTTTACATTGTACAGTAATTCATCTTCTTCTTGCTCTTCCTCGAGAAGGAGTAACAATATTTTATTATTGTTAATTATTGCAGTATTGACACTCATAATAATTAATAATTATCAAAAATTAACTTAATAAACACAAGACTTCACAGCACGAAGACCAAAATGATACTAAATTATTTAATACAAAATCTGAACAGTGAACACCTGCATTTCAGACTGGTCTCGGTCACCAGTCGCGCCTGGGAAACCAGCACGCATCAACGACCGGTCGCCGAGACCAAACTCCGCGACCGGTCGCCGCGACAAGTCGCGCCTTGGAAACCGTACCTTTAGAACGCGGCTGACGCGTGCGACCGCCGCGCGCGTCTAGAGCCGCGCGACCGTGACCGCGCCAGAGTCAGTCATGACGCGGCCGCGTGCTCGTAATTTTTATAATTAATACGAATAAATATAAAATTAAATTTTATTATTATAATATTTATTAATTTATTATATTTATTTTAATTAATTTATTAATTATATAATACGTTAAATAATATTTATCAATATTATATTATAAAAATGTCTTCGAACATCATGAAAACGGGATTTAGTACTGAAGAAGATAAAACCTTGGCTGAACTCGTTGGGTTTCATCCATGTTTATTTGACTTGGCAAACCCTTCATACAAAAATCAAATAATAAAAGAAAATGTATGGAAACAAATTTCAAACGAATTGAACAGACCAGGTATTTTTTAATTTTTAAAACTTTTTATTTATAAATGCAATAGTATTCAGTCCGGTCTTATTACGTTATGTTACGGTATTTATCATATATCTTTTTACAAAAATTGGTCTAATATAGTTAGGTCTGATCGAATATAATATTATAATAAATATGTATTATATTATATTTTTCACTCAAGGGATAATATTTCGGGACAACGTTTGGCCCATCACACTTTCTTCATAATTTTAATAATAATATAAACAGAAACTGGAATATTATGTATTATTGATTTATATAAATAATACAAGGTTAAAAAAAATGCTCATGTATTCTCATTTCAGATTAAACATATATACATTATAAACATTATAAACTGTACATATAATATTATTGAGATATATAAACAAACAATTAGTGAAGTTAAAAATAAAAATGAAAATTAATGTAATCAGTACTTCAATATTATAATACAAAATATTTAAAAATATTATATGACATTTTACGAAGTATCGGTTCTTAATGTATGATAATTTTGCCATGGTATTGTACCCTGCGGAGAGTTGAAAAATTGTTTAAATTCATCTCTTACTTAAAAAGCCTTCATAATTTCCATATCCTCCCGTATGCTCAAGCTGTACCATATTATTAGCAGGATAATCATTTGGGTCAAAATTGTAATAGTGTTGTTCTGATGTATTCTCTAAAGTATATTGGTCACGTAAAAGATTATGAAGACAGCATGCAGATAATATGAGATGGTCGACGGTTTCTGGTTTTATTGGTATCGGTGTATAAAACACTCTATAAACCTGGCTTAATAGTCCAAAACTATTTTCAGTCGTTCTTCTTGCCCGTGTTATAATGGAGCATAGTACGTAGTTTTATTAGAGTAATATGATATGCATACTGGTGTACGTGACTACGGAACGGACGCTCGAGCTGGAATCTGCTTATCCAGCAATTCCTACCCTGGTCGTTACACAGAGGGCTCCATGGTCACGGCCGCCC